TCTATTAAAATAAAAATATTTATCTACCTAAAAGTTTACTTTCAACAAATAAATATTTTTATATATTTTGTTTTTAATATAGAGGATAAAGAAATAAAATATATCTATCTTTTTTTAAAGTTAAATATATATAAAACAAAAATAAGTATTTATATACTTAAAAGTTTATAATAAAAAAAAATAAAAATATAAATACTAACATATTTTGTTTATTATATAAAAATAAATATATATTTTTATATATTAAAGTTTATTTAAAATATAAAAATAAATATTTACATAAAAGATTCTGTAAAAACATAAAAAATATATTCCACCATTGACCAGACACTTAGGCTTACGAAAGAAGCTACTAAAGCTAAAAACAATAGGAAAGTAACAGGTGTGGCCCTTTTATATTGAAGTCTTTTATAATAACATGGCAACCTTGGCGTAGTTTACAAAATGACTACTGCCGGATTCCCTTTTTACTTAACCACGGTGGTACACATATCTAACGCACAGAACCTTAAATGCTAAAGTTCACTGAAGCCTGTTATTAGACATTTTAAGGAGGGTGATCCACAAAGCTCTTACTATCTACACGTCGATATGCCACAAACCCCGAAAGTAAACTTAACCCAGTGCGCTGATGAACCGCCCTATATTCTGGTTCAAAACTCGCCTAGCTGCTGTTTAAAAACATACAGGCTTATTTGACAGCGCTTGAAGCAAGGTTTTTATAAGGAAAATTTATATTTAGCTCTTGGAAAGTAGCTCTATGCTTATAGATTATATATCTCGAAATTATGATTGACGATCCGCAACTTACTTACATCACTACTAAAACCGGACGAGCCATATCCGTTTTATAACCCTTACTATGCACGAAAAGCTCCTTGCATCTATAACAATGCTTCTGTTATAAAAGTTAGTGATACACCCGCTGATGAGCAATTCTTGTATCACCTGTTACTCTTCCTTAAGCAAAGATATTCATCCACTAAAAGTATAACAAAACACGTTCTGAAAATGGTGGTAAACGCTCCTTGCTTTGCACGTGACAACCAAATTACCTAAGAATGTAACCACGAGCCTGTTCAAGAGTTCTGTGAAGAATTTTACGAAACCTTGCTAACCAGGATCAGTAGTCACTATGAGATTATTAGACAGACTCTTCATTATGACACTCTTTGGTACACCCGTTACTCGTGACCAAAACAATCCTTAGACTTACTGGAGGGGGTCTATGGCTAGGATTATAGTTTATTTTATTTTTAAAATAAATACTTTAATAATATAACTATTCTAAAACTTGACTATACTATTATATGTTATATTGTTGTTAACTTTTTCTACTACGTTTTTATTAATATTCACTGTTTAGCATTGATGATAAAGGGCATTCTTTCCTGTTAACGGTGATACAATTTGTTAAGGAAGTCAAAGCTCCTCACTATCGATTACAAATCACTCCTGTAGTAAGCCATTATTTTAATTAACAAAAAATTAAATTAAATAATTTTTTTTCCTTTTAACGCATGATCAGGGCTCGCTTTTATTAAAATATTATTAATTTCTTTTAGTTTTTAAATAGGTTTGTGTTAATAACAATGTCAACATAGCTTTTAATAAGTAAAGATGAGCATGTGAACCCTCTACAAGGTCGGGGAAATCAGAGGTTTTATTACTTGCTATTTATTTTTCGTGACAAGTATTAAACTTTGATTTTCCCGTTTCCTATCTCTGGCTTGGCGGATAGTTTGCGTGCTCGAAATTATGAAAAACATGCGGATTTAGCGCCTTAATAATTTTAAGCTTAGCTAAGAGAAAATTGGTTAATTTTCTACTAAAACTTAAGTGGGTGCATTTCTCTATTGTTATCTTAGTTAAGTAATTTTTATTATCACTTGCGCTTTCTTAAATGATCTCTAAATGCTTTACCGGGCCTTATAAGCTCGTCGTAAATCTATCAGCCCTTAAGTCGTTTTAATTTTATCCATTTTCAGATTATCTGTCAAGCTCAAAACGGTTAAGTAGTTAAACTCTTAAAAACTTGCGAAGTTCAACGTTTTTACACCCAAAGATCAATCTGAAGAATAAAAATGTATCACCTACAAAGTTATAAAGGTTTTCACTTTATTCCTTTTAATAAAGTTCTTGGATTGAAGTTACAGGAAATTTGGCAAAAAAAATTAATTTATGACATATTTGCTTGTAGAAGAAAGTCCTTATTAAAAAAATTACTTCATATTGCGAATGATGAAACCAATATTAAGCACTTCAATTTTGGAAGGTTAAGATAGCGTTTAACTTGTTTGTTAGTTCAAACTTTTTGGCGTTTAGACATTTTTTGAGCCTAAAAAATAACAGGAATCATTTAATTAGCAGAGTTACTAAAATGCTATAACTAATTTTTTGTCCAACAATAAATAACCCATGCTTTCAGCTATTAGAAATTATATAGCTCTCAGCCATAGTTCATTTAAATTCAAAAAGATGGAACAAATCTTCCAATTCACTATTAGGAAGCAGCCCATTTTTTTTGCTTACATAAAAAATAACCAAGCAGCCCCCAGTTCCTTAAAAGTTTCCGCCAACAAACAAGAAGCCAACTCTTAAATTTTAATAACTATATCTACTTCTACTATTTTAGTGCAGGTTTGGTTACTCTTTTTATAATGAGTTACATCAAAAATGCTTACTCCTTCAGTTCTCTAAAATTAATTCTTAAGAGTGACGTCAACTTTTGTTGTATAACTGTATTTAAAAAACAATATCCTTTGTTTTAATATACCGTTACCTATAAAGAGACTTTTTCTTTGTTTCGGTAAACTCATTTTTAATAAATGTAACTAATCAAAATGTCTTTAAGAAACAAGAATTTAAAGCATTAAAAACTAATATAAGCACGTCTAATTTTTTTTAAAAATGTTTTATAACTAACAAACTTTAATTGAAAAGAAGCTGTTGTTACTTTCAAAGAGCATTCGGACTAGGCTTTTACTATAAATAGCTGTAATTTTTTAAAATAATTAACCCACCCTGGTAGATAAACTTAACATCTACGCTAGCAGAAAAGGATTATAAATAAACGAACTTTTTTTTTTTAAAAAAAAGCTGTAGATGGAGAGCTGCACAAGTTTAAAAACTATTGACTTTGTGAAAATTGCAAGACAACTAGATATTTCTATCTCTTCTTAAATCATTGCAAAACTGAAGAAAAATCTTTAGTTTAACAACGCTATGACAGGTGAACAGGATCATATATAAACCTTGTATATACTCATTTAGCGTAGACGGAAAGTCCTAGCTAAAACTTGTGGTAAGATAATATAAAGTTTTTGCCTGTTTTGTTTAATATGGTCAAATTAAAAGTTGCAAGTGCATATACGAGCATCCTCAAAGGTCATTAAAAAAAATATTTCACGTTACTTAACGATTTATAGTAAGTTTCTCGATACTTTGATATTAGTTATATGTAGATTTCTATAATAGGAGTTTATAGCATTTTCATTGGTGTTTTTCGGCCTTCTGTGCCGTTTTACCAATTGCTTAACCCCTTATTTTTTTTTTTATAAAGTTGCTGGTTTAGCAAAACCAAATGTCTGATGTCACTGTGTTACAGGGAAATAATATAAAATAAAAAATCATACTACTAAAATGCAAGAAGTTTTAAGTAATTTAAAAAGAACTTGGCATACCTCTGATATTTTACAAGAAAATGAAGTTTTAAAACAAACCGTTGATTTTCTGAAAAATGTATTTTTTTTTTACTTTTTTTTTCACTTAAGAGTAAATATAATTTTTTACTGGAGTAGGAAGGTGAAAAACAGATAAAAGCACTAAAATCTATTTTAAAAGAGCAGTTACTGATAAACGAAAAACTTAAAGAAGATTTGGAGTTTTATAAGAAAGAATCAAGTGGAAAGGTGTACAAGAAACCTGAAAATATTCTATATAACGCAATATTAAAAGCTGTCGTTATAAATAGGACTTAAGCATAGATGCAGTCGAAGATTCCTTTATGAATATATCAGTTACCGAGAAAGAAGTCCGAAAAGAGAATATATTCTTCCACTGAACATCCAATTTTAGCTTATAATTATTTAATAATAAAGGTAGAACTTGAAAAACATACTGGCGTAGTAAACAAGACAGTACTTCAGAAGATTATGTTTAGTTCTATAGAAGAACAAGTACTTGAGGAGGTTAACTGGAAAAGTAATTATTATAGTTTAAAATTTAATTATCTAATTTTTTAACTACAATAAATTCTTCTATGTTTTTAAAGTAAAATTTATTAAATAACTTTTCGCATATTTAGCTTTTTTACTAAATTTAGATGTAACTTTAAACTTTCCATTTTAACCAACTATAAGAGAATTTTTATATAAATAAAATTAATTAATCTATTAAAACTATTATTAGATGAAAATTTCCAGGAGTTTAAAAAGGAAGCCTTACAAAATTCTACAGATTTGAGTGAAAATTTAAATTCTATAAAACAGTTAACTAAATCTATCTTCAACTGCTTTATCTTTACATTAAAAAATAAGTTTCAAAAATATTTTTTTTCTAATAATTACATTTAGAGCAAAATGTATTTAAGGGAATTACGGTTTGATTATAAAGATCTAGTTAAACGAATTTATAAATAAACGATTTAAAACTACTGTATTTAATTTTAAATAGTAAAGTATTTACTTTGACAACTATTAGTTTTTTAGTTATAACTTTTTGGATCAATTTATAAAGCATTTAAAAATTTAGATTTCCTTATAATTATTTCTCAATTAGTAGAAGTAAAATTTATACAGAACTTTTTTTTTACAAGTTTCCAAAATTTATAGAGAGAATTTAAAGCATAAATCTACTATCATCGAGGAAGAAATACAAAAGCATAATGGTTTTTAATTAATTTATTACTAACTATAATAGTTTATTAAAAATTTTGGTTTTATTTACATTTTATTAAAGCGGTCTATATAATTTTTTTCGATAGTTTTGTAATGTACTAAATGATTTGTGATTTTAATTATATTTTGGTACTATTTTTGCATTTAGCTTTTATTTTATAACGTTTAAAAGAAATCGAGTAGTGTGAATTGCTATAAACGCAGTGAGAAAAGTTAAATTTTCACTGTTATAATTTTCTAAAATTCTTTTTGTTTCAAATTTTCTAGATCATTAAGTAGTTTTTTAAAAATTAATATAATAAATCTATTATATAATAAATAAGTGCTTTATAAAATTTAGAACACCGGCAAGGAAGATCACTCTTAATTTTTAATTTCGTAGTAAACTTCTCTTTCGGACTACATTTTTATGTAGCTTGTTTATTAATAATTTTACTAAAAGAGCAAAAATTCATTTCTTTTCTAAAATTAACAAGAAAAATCCAAAATTTTTTTGTCTTTCTTTTTATTATGTAATATAGCAGTTTATCAGAATCCTTTTACTTTCCAGGAATTCCACAAGAGGAAAACTGCATAATAGTAGCTGAATTTCCTTGCGCCCAAGAGCCAATTCCAAAATCTTCCAAACAAAAAAAAGATGTACTAAAAAAAATTTTTTTACTAGAGTAGTGGCCAATTGCTCTGTTTACTAAAAAGATACTCGAGGCGCAACAGAAGCTCGAATTCGAACTTTTAAATATCGTTGTAAATAGTAATAATAAGTTATTATATGGATTACATATAAATAAAATTTATTATAATTTGTAGAGAATCTCGAATTCAAAAGTGTTGCTATTCAGACGGAGGAGTTTATAAAAAGTGAAGATGCCAGTATACGCCTCCTTTTATTGTTTTGCTTTCTATTATGAAAATATTATGACAGAAGTATACGACGAACAGCAAAATGAACATAAGCAGCTGCTGAATACCGCTTTTATGGAAAAAAGCGAAGAACTGCATTTACAACTCGAGCGACTTATAGAAGAAAAAGAAAAAAAGTTTATGAAAGTAAAGCCTTCGGGAAAAAAAGAACTGATGACTTTTTATAACACGTATTATTTAGAGCTTGGAAGAGAAAGAATGCGAAATTGAGGAGCTCAAAGAAGCCGTATTTGCTAAGGTTTTTTTTATAAAAAGTATGCTAAATACTATTATTATATATAAATAATGCACATATAACAGGATAATATTATAAATAGTATGACTGCTGAGGCTAAAGAGCGTTCGGAAGCAGCGGAAACACTGCAAGTTGGTATTGCTTATTGTTATTACTATAATAACAACTTAAAAGTTTAAAAAGAGAGAATTATACGAGTCTGAAGGGAAACTCAAAGCAGAACAACAATATTTTCAATCTTTATATGAAGACGAAAGTCGACTTAATAAAGATTTTGAAGAAAAAATAAGAAGATTGCAGGAAGCGCAAAAACTATCAGAAAAAAAGTGGAAGTCGAAGGAATTTATTACTTTTTACTTTGATGATTGGCTTCTATAATGAAGTCCTCACTATATTTTTTCTGTTATTCAACAGACGCACGAGTTAAAAAGGGAGTTGAGAAAAAGTCGCGGAGAAATAATGCAGTTGAAAAGTATGAAAGTTTTTATATTAAGTATAAATATAGTTTTAATTTTTTGTTAAGATAAGCACGCGAAAGGAGCCGCTTCCTTAATAACAGGTGAGCGCATAAATATTTGTGGTAACTTTTCTCAAGAATAATATTGACTTTATAAAGAACCCCCGCTCGACCAGCCGAATCGACTTCAAGAGGACAACGCTCGTTTGATTGCCCGTGTGAGCGAGCTGCAGTGCAAATTGTTTTTACTTGAAGAAAAAGTGAAAAGTTTATTATTACCTTTCGATTATTTTTTGACTGCCGTTTTTTACGATACAGTTGGCCTATATAGAAGATAATGCTGCCGAAATTGCTAAAGAAAGCGCAAACAGAAAAGATATACTCCAGTCCTGCTTTTCTTCAAAAATAAATAAGCCCGCTAGAAGAGTATGACCTTTCAAAGACTTTAGACTTAAATAACTGCTCCCGTCTTCCTCGTAGTTCTCACTCTCTAGCCACGTGGAAAATATTAGAGAAGCGCTTCATGGGAAAATGCCCAGGGCCTGCGTGGAAGGCTTCCAGCGGATGTTGGAAGAGGCGCTCGTCAAAAATATAGAGTTGCAGGTTTCGCCCTATGCTTATTGTGTGGCGCCCTGCAATACTATAATGTTTAACATAGAACAATTTGGAGCAACTAGCCGCTGAGAACTACCAGCTTAAAGAAAGGATTGGTGAGAAGACGGCTGTAGAAAGCGAGTAGCGCAGTCTTTTTAAAAATTTCTTTTATATTATTGGGCTCCATTAGTAAGGCGGGTGTTCTGTGTAAAAAGGGTCGGAGAAAAAACAAAAAGATACCGATATAAAATAAAGGCGCGTACATACTTTAATAGTATTTGTAAGTACACCCCTATAAGCTTGGATATACAGGTAGTGTAAAAGATAACTAGCGCCCGAGGATCGGTGTAACTTATAGAGGTAAAAAAAAAGGAGATAATTAAAAGAAATGTTATACTATAATGAGTAGCCACAAAAAAAGAGTAGTTCAGAACTATTCGCCACTAGTAAAAGACGCAACTTTACACATTTTTACTTATTTAACAATGTACTAACTTCCAAATGCTCACCGGGTTTCTGTGCCCCGGTAGTTATCAGACGTCAAATGCATGTGATCTTCTCTAAAAGGTGTATAGGAAACGTTCTTTAGCGTCTTTAACGCTATTGCCTTACTTTGGAGCTAGGGTTAGGCCTCTAGCCTGATAATTTAGGTAATAATGAAGAAATTTAATATCATTGTTGAGCCAAAAAGCGGGTAAAACCTCATAAATGCTGAGACTACCTAATCGCTGCCCGTAGGCATTCTTTTATATAGTATTATTTAATAATATATTATACATACGTAGGTACACGACTCCCAAGAGCTATACGGATTAATATTTCGCAATTTTAATCGATTAATATAAATCTGGATCTAATGATTAATATGTTATTATACTATTATTTCTAGGCAAAGTGTCAGTGCCTTAACCGGACCAGTTGGCTCGCTTAAGGGTTAAAAGGAATAAATTAAACTCTTAAGCTAATATTACAAACCTTAATGCTCTACCCTGCAGACTACAAAACTTTAACTCCCCTTCTCCGCTCAGAAAAAAAATTAACTGCTTAAGTATTAAGTTCTTTTCATTAGCGATAAAAGTAGATGTCAAAGAGATATTCTTACGATTTGAAAACTATTACTCAATAAAATAGACATTTGGACAGACTAGTGCCCCTACTATTGCGCCCTTTAACCACGCGTTAGTGATTTAAGGAGACATTTAAGACCTCTGAAGTTCCTCTATTCTAACTTGAACCAGCTAACTGTACTATGAAATTTTTAAATTAATGTTATTAAGTATCTATATAATTTTAATTGTTAGCGTCGTCAGTCTTTTTAAATTGAAGGATTAATATATATATATTGTTGAAATTAGTTATTTATACTAAGGTAAAAATATGCACTTAACACATAATTTTGTAACTCATACCCATTAATAGGCACGGGCCTGCCTAAAACCGAGCATCAACTTTAAAACTAAAATGCTCTACGGGTAATTTGTGGTGCTCCGTTATATTTTAACGAGTTCTTTACCTTCTAAAACCCGTAGAAGAGTCAGTGAAAGTTCTTCCTAACCTAGTTATTCGGGTCATAGTACATGCTACCACAGAAGGAAAGGTTAAACTCAGTGTATTAATAAAATTAGAGTGTAGTAGTATATTATTTTAGCATAATTCATACATATTCCGCCCGAATCACCTTAGTCTGAGCAAATCATTATAATAGCACCGGCGCACAACCACTGTGCAAGCTTTTTAGCTAAGAATTAGAGTACAGTACACTTGGAGCCTCCAAGAGATGCCCTATTCCCTGAACAGTGGAAGTGTAACTTAGATGATTAACTAACCCAAAGTTCTATATTGTTAACTAAATATTTCTATTATTATTCGCTCTATATAACTAATATCATTAAAAAATTCGTTCTCCTTCCAGCATGAACGCAATAACGAATGTAACTTATTAGATAAAACTTCCTAGAAAATAATTAAGTTAAAAGAAAATACAGAATATTATAAAAAGGATCGAAGAATAGTGTTTTCAACATATCAGACATATTGTTGAGACTAATAATTAAATGGCAAAAGCTGTACAGTAGAGTATTAGTCTAAAGACCTAAAATTTAGTAAATGAAGTGTACTATTATTTTTCTTTTCTGTGCCCAAATATACATTGGATACTCATACCTTAAGAACAAAAAAACTTAGAAATCAGACCTTCCTGTAAGTGTACTAGTGGGCAATGCGTTCCCAGAAAAATTCAACTACTTATTTTAATAAGATTTTAAATAGTTAAATGAAAATTCAGTACACTACATTTAAACTAGAATCCATACTATTATCATTCAATCAACAATAATTTACAACCTATCTGGATATTTTTTTTTATATAATTTAATGCTATAAATAAATTAAAAAAAATAAACAAAAAACGCGTCGAAATTTATCCAACATTCTCGAAACTGTGAAAGGGCTGAAAATCTGTTTACAACAGTTTCTAAGCCAATGACCCGCCGCTATATTCGACTCCTATTTTGGAATGCAAATGCTGTACAGAGTAAAAAGCACGAGCTCAGGAGAAAGGATTGATGTGTGCGGCTATCAACGGGACGGGACGCACCTCTTTCTTAAGACGTATTTAACTTGTGTTATTTTGTTACGTATCGCCAAGACAGAATTGATGCTTCCGGAGGGAGCGTGGCTGTCTTAATGAAAAGGAGTATTCTACATCGTTCGATATCTATGCCAGCTCTACAAAGTGTCGAGACAGTGGGAGCCCCCTATGTATGGCCGATCAGGGGCCCGAGTCTATGATCGCTACCCACAAATCCCCTTGGAAGCTCCTTCCGCCATCCGATTTGGACGCCCGCCCAGGGAGTGCCTCTTCTGCTGTTTTGTGTGGAGATCTTAATTGCAAGTACCTTACATGGAACAATCGAGCCAATAACTCGTTTGGTCACCCCCTAGGGGCCTATGCTAATGAACACGGACTGTGCGTGCTAGGTCCCAGCAACCAACACCTGGCGACTACAGGCAAAATGGGCGTACTGGATATTGCCATACTTAAAGATATACTGCTCTCTACGGCAACTGAAGCGCTCCACGAGCAGTCCTCTGATCACCCCCCAGTTATTCTCGAGTTAGGGACTGAGAAGGACTCACCAAAGACCAGTATCCATATTTTTATCGACTGGGACAAATATGCTGATGTAGAAACCACGCTGCAGCCGTGTCCGTCATTAACGTCTATGCCCGCCATGCTGGATGATGCTGTCGACTTTTTTGAAACCGCCCTGAACATGGCCCACAATACCGCAACGATAGCCTGCCTGAAGTACTAAAGACAGTTATCTGCCAGTGTTGGTGCCTTATTCGAGTGGCCATGTTCTCGCAGAGAGTCGAAGACAAAGTTGCGCTTAATCGACTTCACAGTTGAACAATGACCCATTTAATAATATAAAGGAGAGCAAACTGCATCGTATATCAGAATAAGGCAGCAGCGGTCCCTCCTCCTTTTGGAAATTTGTTAAAAGGATCAAAAATCGGGGCTTTGAACCACTACCTCCCCTTCGTGAAGGAAATATAGTGGCCGTGAGTGATGGAGATAATGCTACGCTTTTCGCCAATGTTCTTGTTATCCAAAACGCGCCAACTGCTCACTATACTGCTAATGATGATTCCTTTCCTCAGCTGAGCTTTCCCCTCCCCGTTAACTAGGAACCACTTAATCTAGTTAATGTTGACGAGGTGTAAGCAACTGTCTAAGCGCTAACTAAACGAAAAGCGTCTGACCCCGATGGCGGCACTAATAGAAATGCTCTATCTTTAAGCTTCGATGCTTCTTGGAACCTTGGCGCCTTTCCAATTCGATAGAAGACGGCGATCGTTGTGATGCTACCAAAAACAAACGGAATCAGCATCTAGCAAGCACCGGCCCAGCAGCTTTTCCACGTAACCGAATTGACCACTCGCGCTTTTAGCCATAAGAAGGCAATAGGCACTGTCTTCTTTGACGTTGAGAAGGCATTTAATCAAATTTGGCATGAAGTTCTGCTGCACAAACTGCGCTCGTATCCGCCCCTCATAGCCTTTATAAAGTGCTTAATTCATATCTGAAAGGTTTCTTTTGCGTGAACACAGGAGATATCCGGTCGCCACTGGGATCTCTGACAGCAGGGTTCCTCAGGGATCACTTCTCTTCCCCTTTTATTTGCAATTTAAATGAGCGACGTTCTCTTGCCGTCCGACCCACGCACACAAATCTTCCTCTACGTCGATGGTACGACCGTATATCCCTCTTCGAGCTCTCCCGCCTTGTTATGCAAGCATCTACACCACTATCTTAACGCGCTTGCCGTCTGATGCCGGGTTTGGAAGGTTTGTAAATAAACTGAAGAGCAAAGAAAGCTATATTAATTTCAAAGAACGCATCCCTTTGTTGGTGCCCTTAACCTTTAATGGCGCGAAGATTCCATGGTGCTCTCAAGCAAAATACTTGTGAGTCATGGCCGTCAACAAATTTTCCTGGCGGCCTCATGTATACTATGTAGTAGGAAAGTCCAGGCACCAACCAAGGCGCTTTATCCTTCACTTTGCGTAAGAGTAACCTTTATCTGAGAAACAAATGGCAACTGTATTGGCCTTACATCCAGCCAACAATGACATAAACGTCTGCTGCTTGGACCTAGGACTCCACAGCGAGAGATCGGCACTTCAAATGCGACAGAACAAATTGCTGCGTTTTCTGACAAAGGCGGTCGTGATTTGTGCGAAATGATGCCCGGTTTCACCAGGACCTTCAGCTGAACCCTTTAAACATTGTCTTCCAACTCTATGCAGTGGTTCTTTACGGCAGGCTTACCAAGCACACTAATCGCCCTTTTTTTTTGTTAATGTAAAAAAACAATGACGCCCTGAGTGCTATTGTAATATATATGCGATCACTCCTCATTGAGAGCTCGAGCATTCGAAGTTTTTAAGCTAATATAAACCCTCCTCGGTTGTCTAATAAATTTTTTCTTTCCCTTTATTTTGGTTTTATTACATGTTCACTGGATTATGTAAAATTTTGTGATGTTTTTCGTTATATAAAAGTTAATCTGCACGTTAGAAGAAAACTGGAGTTAAAGTTAATAAATAAAATTTAGATACAAGATGTTTTTCTTATCAAAAATAACAAATTAAATGTACTGAAAAAAAGAACTATGACGTAGCTCAAAGATTAGATGATGTGGGGTAATGAAACCAAT